CTACGGATGTGTCGTCGACATATAGCGATTTCAGGGACGCTCATCAACCATTAATATCAAGCCTATAATTTCACAACTTCAGACGCCACCGCATTATTTCATTTTTGATTTAAGAATTACTTACCTTGGTTTGCACCGACCGTTTTAAGGAAGGCTTAACGTTAAGTTACCTGAGCTAAGTATACCTTAAAAGGACATTTTTACATGTAAAAATATCACTTATCACTTTTTACTTACCGTTAAACCTTCTTTAAAATGGTCGGTGCAAACGGCCATTAGTGAATTAAACATAAAAGCGACCGATTTCTGGTCAGTTTCGACTAGAGAAAAACACCACTGGTTTTCCACGTATATCAGTCTTCAACTGTCCAAATGCAGCAGCTTTACAAGCAGAGAATGGAAACTATTTAACTTGATTTAGTAGATGTATTATCTCAGAAAACTTATGAATGCATTTGGGATAGTGAGCAAACATTCTTTGAATTCTGCAATTATCCTGAGTGAAGCAGTATCTGTAGGTAGAGAGTAGAGGCAACTGAATCTGTGCTTTTAGTCTGTCTATATCTGGTTTGATTGATTTTCGTTCTATTATAAGCCCTATATAGTATATTAATTTTTAAACCTAACCTAACTTAACCTTCCTATCAAATTGCGAAGACATCATATACATAGGTACTTATATCTGTTTCTACATCAGGAACAACTTAATCAATCAAATCTTCAAGCTTTAACTGAAAACTCCTTTCCGTCTGCTGTAAACAGTTTGAACTCTTTCTCTGTGTCATTATCATAAAGGAAGATATTCTTTACCAAAATTCCTATCAAATTGCGTTGAAGCTTCATCTATTTCTTAGTCAGAAACAACTTCATTAATAATATCTTCCGCTAGAAAATCTTCTTATTCAAGCTTAATTGAACATTCCTCCTCATCAATCCGTGTGAACTGTTGAGAATTGTCAGTTATCTGAGTTGTATAGGAGTTTGAAAGTATAATCTTGTCATCAGGTACATGACGCAGTTGGCATTGAACATTATACAAAGAATATATAAGTAGCTGAAAGTTGATTGAGATGTCGAGGAAGTTAAGAAAAAGTCAAATTGCGGAGGAGAATGAGGCAGGACATTGAAGCCTATTGAATTTTCAATCAATCCAATCAAATAAAGAACCTTCGAATGATTTATCGGAATAATCTCTTGAACAAATAAACCCATATCTTTGGTAAATTTCAAGCAAATTGGAATAAATTATATACCATTGCAAAGAGCATCAAATTCTCTATAAATCTGAGCAAAATTGAATTTGAGAGCTCAAATAGTTTTTGAGCCATTGACCCTCAAAGTTGACTTTCTGTCCAAATGTCAAAAATTTCAAACTCAACTTGTTCAAAAACTATAAATCTGGAAATTTTATAAATTACAGGCAATTTAGGGCTTGATAAGAGCTACAAATGCTGGAAATTTCAATGCAATTTGTTCAACGGTTACGGAGCAATTGAGATTTGAATATTTTGAAATCAGAATTCAAAGTGGGTAGGTGGTACCCTTATGAAAAACTCCGATTTGTTAATTTTTTAGTTTTTCTTAATTTTGACTTTATTAATCGATAGAGCGGGTGAAAATCAATGGAAACCAACCCTGACATCAATTCCAAATAGATATTTTAAGCAGAAACAAAAATAAAAAGAAAATCTTATTTTTGGCTTTGAAAAATTTTCAAAATCTTGACATAGTCGTGAACAATTGCCAATATCTTTATCAAATTTCGAGCAAATTAGAATAAATTATATATCATTGGAAAGAGCACTAAATTCTCTATAAATCTGTGCAAAATTGAGTTTGATAGCTCAAATAATTTTCGAGCAATTGGGTTTCAAAATTGACTTTTAGTCCAAATTTTGTCAAAAACTTAGAACTCAATTTGCTCAAAAACTATAAATCTGGGAATATTGTAAATTACAGGCCATTTGGAACTTGATAAGAGCTACAAATGCTGGATTTTAATGCAATTTGCTCAACGGTTACCGACAAATTGAGGTTTGAATATTTTATAAAAAACTTGATTTTTTATTTTTTTAGTTTTGCTCAATTTTGACTCTATTAATCGATAGAGCGGGTCAAAATTAGTGGAAAACAATCCTGACAATAATTCCAAATGGCCATTTTAAGCAGAAACAAAAATAAAAAGAAAATCCTATTTTTGGCTCTTGAAAATTTTCAAAATCTTGACATGGTCATGAAGAATTGCCTATATCTTTATTAAATTTCAAGCAAATTGGAATAAATCATCGCCTTCCTTACAAAGGGGCTTATCTCAACAATTTGGTAAATTGAGTTAGGCCCTTGGGAGGCATCAAAACAGTTACCTGCAGCTACCCTCTAAAAGGCGTATCTCAAATATAGGTAATCTCGAAGATACGCCTTTTTCAGTATTAGGCCTATCTTAGATTTGGCACGAAAATAATCTCATAAAATATTTGTACTTTTTTTCTCTCCTGAAAAATCAAAAAATGAGATAGGCCCCTTTGCAAGGAAGGCAACGAAATTATATACCATTGGAAAGAGCAATAAATTCTCTATAAATCTGTGCAAAATTGAGTTCGATAACTCAGAAAGTTTTTGAGCAATTGAGCTAATTGACTTTTAGTCCAAATTTTGTCAAAAACTTCAAACTCAATTTGCTCAAAAACTAGAAATCTGGCAATATTATAAATTACAGACAATTTAGAGCTTGAGAAGAGCTACAAATGCTAAAAATTTCAATGCAATTTGCTCAACGGTTACCGAGCAATTGAGATTTGAATTTTTTGAAATCAGAATTCAAATATAGGGGGTACCATTATGAAATTTTTTTGAAGTGAAACTACTTAGGCGGCAGTCTGATATTTGGACGAGAATAGAGAGTGATCTAAAACACGCGTCACGTTCTGGCAAATTTCTTTACACGAGAGAGAAAAAAAAGAACGTAGAGGGACGGAGAAAGATAGCCAATGATAATGACAGCCAACGAACGATTGACACAAACCAAGGATTATAAACTATTATTATCTAGCGCCGATATCTTTGTGACGTCCCTACAAATGCGTTTCCTTTTTGTGTGGCCCTTTCTTCATCTTTACCACCGTCCACGACTCATACCTTAAAGTCTAAAAACTGTATTCCATTATAACATAAATATCGTTATCATCTCTAATGGTTCACCAAGAAAATATTCGGGAATTTTTGACATACATCGTAAGTACGGCAAAACTTCTGCCGGAGATTTTACATAAGAACATCGGATCTGCACCAGGAATTCGATAATAACATAATAGAGATGATGTAAGATGTCCCAAGTAGCACATACATGTCCCTGCAATTACGTATCAACCATATACAACGTCGCCCGATAAGTGACCGTCACTGATTTTTCATCAAAATTACGTTGTGCGGTCATCGTGAATATGTGGTCAAGAAATCAGACCTTTATCTAGCTTAGTTCTGACGTAATACATGAAACCAAGTTTCAACGTTAAATTGAAACGTCGTCTTCTTGCTACACTTGTGACCTCTAAAACGTTTTTTAAATGTCATCTAATGCGACCACTTATCAAAATCGTAAATTGGACGTCATAATATTGTACTAAATTCAACGTTGCATTGAAGACGTCAATCCGTCGTTATCTTGTGATCTCTAAAACGTCGTCTGACACTGACACGATACATAGATGTCATAGAAAAACGTCAGGTTAACGTTGAAATTGGACACTGGTTAAAGTTGGTGTAGTATTCAATACTTTTTGCGTCGTTCATTAATAAATTGTCATCAGTCGCTTCAAATACTCATTCACATATTACAGAAAAAAAAAAATCTAGATTCCATTGAAAAGGGAAAAATCTATTCCGGACATGAAGGAAATGGAGGAAGAACTGAAGAAGGGGAACTGAAAGAGAACTCTGTAGTTTCCAATCAAGGAATTAAAAAATATCCATTAAATGTCCGGTTAACTAAGAATATTTTTCAAGTGATGACGAGATCCACTCCATTGAATATGGATCTGGCAGTATGAAATAACTGATAAAGTAGATGAAACGACTTATTACAAGCGCGCATATTATCGTTTTGTGGTAATTCGAGATTTTGAACAACATAAAACATTTATAGTTTACTGTGAAATTTCCAATAAATGAGACCGTTGGAGGCAACTCAAAGAACCGGGTTACGATAGATTATCATATAGGACATATCTACCTATAGTCAATCTAGGTTAATGTTGGTACAATTTTATTACCTATGGTTTTATGTTTATATAGATTAAGTCTATTTTATGACGAAAATACGCATAACGTTAGGCAGATTATTAGCTTGGCCATTTTAAATATCGCAATGTAGATTTCAACATTTTTGATGTAGAAGAAGATTTTCTTGTTCAGATTGTAGACGAAAAAGCATTATGTCACGTTCCAATTTTCCTCCAACATTACCAACTGACTATATGTCTCTCTTCTAGCTTGGCACTATAAAATTTAAACTCCGTCGCTGTCCACATCCCCATAAATTTAATTAAAAAATTACTACGTGTCTCCAGAGCAGGCACAAGACAATAAAGTGGCATTCCAATCTTTCTCGGACCCTATTCTGTATGTGAATAGCAAACTTCTTCTTTACGTTGGTCCTATTACGTCCCTGCTCTGCGACTCTCCCCTATATTAACCCCTGGGTGTCTGGATAGGCGTCGCGACGTCAAGCGCCGCTACGCGGCCTTTTCCACAACTTCCCTCTAAAACACAGGGAATACACCCCGTCCCGACAACGTGTTTTGTTGCTGTTCGAAAATAAAAATACGCGCATATTGTAGTAAAATTTTTAAGTGATTATTAAACATTAGAATTAGCCTCTAAAAGTGTTTTAAACAAGGATATTTTAGTGGAAAGTGCTTGGAATTGAGTGTTTTTGGAAAATCTTTGGTTAGAAGTGCTACTGTTTGTAAAATGTTGTGCTAATTACGCCCATAAATTAAAACATGCAAGAACGCGAACGACCTAAAATACCTCCAAAACCGATAATAGCAACCAAACCGAAATATGTGCCTCCAGTCAAAATCCAGCAACGTCCTCCAGTACCACAAAATGCCCTCCATACACGCAAACCCAGTACTGGAGACTACGTGGAAAAACGGCCTACAGTATCAAACGCACCTAGACGATCTCAAGGTAATTTGATGAGCACTTTTCATCCAACAGAACAAAAATCAGAAGTATATTTCTTGCCTCAAAACGAAAAAGAGCCTTTATATCCTCGCAGAGAAGACACTCTAGCTCAAAGAGCCGAGTCTTTGCAAGAACAATTCTTTGGCGGCAAAAAGCAAGAAACTCAAATTTTATCAACATTCGCTAGCGATAAATTCTACAAGAAAACCTTAGAGGTGAGTCAAAAACCACCAAACTCACCTAGCACTGTATGCTGTAGCATCCTCTCAAACGCTGCAACCGATTGCTGCGGCATTATAAACGTAGCTAAAATCAATGGCAAAATGACTAAACTAGATTCAGTAGATTCAAACTCCTCAGACTCTGGAGGATTCAAGGATTTTATACCTCCACCCATGAAAGATCCTCAATTCCACCACCAAAGAAAAATATCCCAGCCTGATTTTTTGAACGACCGCAAATTGAGTGAGGCCCGGCCGCAGGGGCATCAACGCAAAACTTCCCAGCCGAACTTTGATTCGAAACCCAAAGGCTATGTGGCAAACGCACAAGCCCTAGCTCACTTTCTGCCTCAGACTGAACAGAAAATTCTGATGCACAATCAGAAAACTGATGAAGCGCGCACTAGACAACCGAAACCCATACTATCTCAACAATCAACCAAGAAACTGGAAGAGCTACTGGCGCAAAGGTTGGAAAAGGAAAAAGTGTTGAAGAAAGGTGGTCAGAATTGTACGGTTGATGGAGACGAAGTCGAACAGAAAATGCGGATTCAGAGGCAGATTCAGCAAAAGTTGCACGCAGACCTCGAGCAAACGGTGAAACAAATACAGGAGATTCAAAATACTGAGTATCGGTTGCCTCAGAATCGGAAATGGAATGAGGTAAGGTTGAATACATTTTCATTTTATTACCTATCTTATCTTCATGAGTTGAAGAATTGAGTTATATTTTTCAAAAGTTACTATTATCAATTTTTCACGTTTAGGATCAAAATAAATCGTCCAAACGAAATGGTTTGGAAAAGGGGGCTTTTGCCTCGTTAATTTTGAATGTATTTCGGGTGTTTGGCTATCAATTTGTAACATGTCAATCATATATTTTAGTGACTGTTACAAAATTGCTTTTTTGTTGGCCTAGATTTTTGTTTATTGGTCAAAAACTGATGAAGAAATAATATTTGTTAATACTATTTTTGGTTTATAATTGTGGTGGACAAATTAAACTATTAATCAAACAAAGACAAAGGTGCGCAAGTGACAAAAATCGCAATGATAAGATTTTAAGCTCCTTTCACTTTGAAACGATTATTTTATAAGTAGGTACACAGTAGTTGGTATGACTCGTTTTTTTTTTTTTTTAATGTGTTGTAACCCATGTAGGTTTTTATTGAGTCGTTCGGATTGAAAACTTTCAAATTTAATGTCTGTATAATTTATGGGGTCACTAGTCTAGTAAGATAAGCTGTGGTAAGATTTTATAAACGAGTTTATTACAGATGAATTTCTATACTTTGAGACAATTTTTTGCTTGAAACCCAGACACTCGGTAGCTTTCTATCAGTGACTGTTAAATGTCTGTTTGGGACAATTCTGAAAAAACAATTTCAAAAAATTTAATTAAAGCCGTTTGTCTCAAACAAATTTAATTGAATGTCTTCTGAAGCTTAAGCTTACCTATCAAAATTATAAAAGACCTCGGACACTTCGTATGGGATTTGTGACCGCGGCTAATTTTAACCAAATTTCAGTATGTTATAAATCTCACCTTTCTGATCAATGACTAGACTACCATGGGCACAACTTAATCCTGTGACTAGTTTTTGAGATACTAGGTAGTTTAATGTCCAAGAAATGTAGGTACACATTTATATGCACCTGTCACCTGAGCGTGAGGATACCTGTCCATCCTGGTATATTATTAGGCGACAGGTAGATATGTTAACGCATATTTTTTTTTATTTACGACTAATGTATAATGTGCGTATTATATTTGTGATTGTGGCAGTATAATGACATATGTTATTCCTCCAGGGATTAATGACGAGTAGCGGGATTAATGGTCATTATTCCACAAAAGTGTCAGTGTCAAACGTGTAGTGCTTGTGGATTTGTATTGAAAATTATGAGACGGATGAAATTTGTTCATTGAAAATCTGAAATAAATTAATTTGTCGTAAATAAAGTAGAGTATACTACTCGCAATAATGGCTATTATTCCCTCGGAATGTTACTCCCTCGCCGCTAACGCGGCTCAGTTCGTAATAATCCTCGGGAATAATAGCTATCATTATTGACTCGTGGTATAATCTACTATTATATAAAAGGTGTACATTTCGTGGACATCAAACTACCTGTATCTCAGAAACTAGTCAGAGGATTAAGTTGTGCCCATAGTTACTGATCAGAAATGTGAGATCTATAACATACTAAAATTTGGTTAAAGGATAACGCACACCTAACATGGGATTTTCGGGCTCTATGGATTTTGCTTATTTTTGGATATGTTGTAGAGGATTTAATTCTTAACAACCTTTGAATGAGACGAAATCTTGTAGTTATTAATTTGAGATATGAATGAGCGTTGAAAAATGAACTTTTTTGCAACTTTTTGTGAGTGTACGAAATACTGGTTCTACTGGTGTTTATCAGTCAAAATATTGACAGGTCCATATATTTTACGTCACTAACGCCCAAATGCACCGCAAGGACTTAATCCAGAATAGTTGTTATAACCAGATTGATTATAGGACTTAATTCTTATATGCAAATTTTGGGAACTTAGCGAGATTAAACTCCAAAATCTATACGGTGCATACGGGTGTAACAGATTAATGTCAACATAGGCTAAATCCGGGACCACACTGGAGTCAATGTTGGCGGTAGTACGGTTCTGGCCTTAGCCTATGTTGACATTTGTTAGTGACGTAAAATATGTCAACCTGTCAATATTTTGACTGAAACACCAGTATTTCGTATACTCTCCACACAAAAAGTCGCAAAAAAAAAAAATCATCTTTCAAAGGCTTATATATCAAAAACCGTAATACCTACAAGATTTTGTCCTATTTAAACGAGGGGGATTTCAGTAGTGGAACTGTGTACACTAAATTACCACTTCTGACAGAAATTACCACAAATTACCAGTAATTACCTCTAAATTACCACTTTTTTCTTTTATTACCTTTCATTGCCTCAGGAATTACCACTCAATGCCACTCAAATTACCACTTTTTACCTCTTATTTCCGCTTAATACCACTAATTACCACTGTCAATACCACTAATCATCACTTTCATTACCATTAATTGCCACTGGAATTACCACTAAATACCAGGAATTTTTTTCAATTTTCAAGTATACCCGAGACTAGAACTCAATAACAAATCGAGATTTTAAAAGGAGAGATGTTGAAAGTTGAAAAAACGAGATACTCAGGAAGGCATTCTAACATGTCTCGAAGAAAAAAGGATTCCAAAATCCTGCAAAAACTCAAGTTTTATCTTCTAGAAACTGGATAAAAATCATTTGATTGATGATGAACGAACAAATGATGTTAAAAGAAGAGCAAATCAAGATGTTGAAAGTTGAGAAAGAGAAACACTCAAGGAGGCATTTCAACATGCCTCGAAAAAAAAAAAAGGATTCCAAAATCCTGTAAAACTCAAGTTCCATCTTCTATAATCTGGATAAAAATCATTTATTTGATGTTGAAGGAACAAATCGAGATGTTAAAAAAAAGCAAATCAAGATGTTGAAAGTTAAAAAAGACAGACACGCAAGGAAGCATTCCAACATGTCTCGAAGAAAAAAGGATTCCAAAATCCTGCAAAAACTCAAGTTCCATCTTCAAGAAACCGGATAAAAATCATTTGATTGATGTTGAAGGAGCAAATCGAGATGTTAAAAGAAGAGCAAATCCAGATGTTGAAAGTTGAAAAAGAGAGATACTCAAGGAGGCATTCCATCATGTCTCGAAGAAAAAAGGATTCCAAAATCCTGCAAAAACTCAAGTTCCATCTTCAAGAAACCGGATAAAAATCATTTGATTGATGTTGAAGGAGCAAATCGAGATGTTAAAAGAAGATCAAATCAAAATATTGAAAGTTGAAAAAGAGAAACACCCGAGGAGGCATTTCAACATGTCTCGAAGAAAAAAGGATTCCAAAATCCTGGAAAACTCAAGTTCAATCTTCTAGAAACTGGATAAAAATTATTTGATTGATGTTGAAGGAACAAATCGAAATATTTAAAAAAGAGCAAATCAATATGTTGAAAGTTGAAAAAGGCAGACACTCAGGGAGGAATTCCAACATGTCTCGAAAAAAAAGGATTCCCAAGTCCTGCAAAAACTGAAGTTCCATCATCTAGAAACTTGATAAAAATTATTTGATTGATGATGAACGAACAAATCGAGATGTTGAAAGTTGAAAAAGAGAAACACTCAAGGAGGCATTTCAACATGTCTCGAAGACAAAAGGATTCCAAAAACCTGCAAAACTCAAGTTTCATCTTCTAGAAACTGGATAAAAATCATTTGATTCATGTTAAAGGAACACACCGAGCTCACCATCAGCGACTTCAGAACATTCCAACTCTATTCCGGATTCCATCTAGAAGACGAAAATATGAAAAAATACGAAATTTCACACGCATTTGCAGTTCCTCACAAATATTTGCGTATTTGGCTCGATATTTGGCATCCATCTAGGATAGGTGAAAATCTAGAAAATTGAAACTAGAGAAATAGAGAGACGGAAACACATAAACACCTAATAGTCTGGGAGGCAGTTATTTTCCCAGTCAGACAACATGGATAGAATTGTAGGGTTAGTAGTTCTAAGTAAAATTCATATATTTTTAGGGGGGGTTTCCCGATGGGTTGAGGCGCAAAATTTATTAGAGCTTACGAATGCACGGCCCTTTTTTTTCCAGTGTTGAAAATAGGTCTACTAATGAGAATTATACTGAAATTACGTAAAAAAATAGTCCGGCTAATCTATGAGTATGGATAATGCGTCTGGCAAGTGAAAAATTAAAGATCCGAAAAATTTTAGCCAGACTCACTTTCCACTATCCGAGATAAGCCAAATTTCTATTTTCATTTATCCGTTCACAATCCGATGTCCACAGGTAGGTACAGGTAAAATCACTTTTCAATGCTATTTGATAGGGAAAGTTGATAAATTTACCTGCACCTGTGGACATCGGATTATGAACCGGATATATTTAATGTTCTATTGTAACGAATGCGAAATATTTATGACTGAGAAAATAAGTGTACTTGTATTTTTCATTGATCTTGTGAACCCATCCGAAAATTTTTGCGAAACTCAAATATTCTTGTTTTGTATCACTGAAAGAACAAACTATTCAATATACCCCAACTGGGAAAATAAGTGCTAAAAAAATTCAGTGCCACCTGGACTATAATATTTGTAGCTATTTGCCGAATGTGTGATAGAGGCTTAAGGTATTATAATAATAGGTTTATTCGGACTTAGTTCAGAATCAGTTCTGAATTGAACTGTGCATGCGCATTTGTTTATTTATGTTCGATATGAACAAATGCGCAAGCGCAGTTCAATTCAGAACTGATTCTGAACTAAGTCCGAACAAATCTAATATAACAAGAATGTCAAAAATGCACTCTATCACTTTACCTTTTCTTTTAGATTTAGAAACACTAAAACACAAAACTGGGCCTTAAATGAGACGAGGACTTGAAATTTTTAAAATGAGCAGTAAAAACAACGTTCATAGATGATGTCAAACCAAGTGTTGAACAATTGCAAGGTTTCCACTTCTTATGTAATGAAACCTCAAATGGAAACTTAGAAAATGAAAGTTGATGTTTCTAACTGACTAATAGGGACTTAGAAGAATATTTTACTTAAATCTGAGTTGAATAGTTTACAGTTGAAGCTCTATTATTTCTAAATTAAAGCAAATTTGAAGGCATATCATAATTTTATCATTACAGAACTTTGAGGTATTACCACAAAATTTCCTTTAATTACCCCGAAAATTGCCTTAAATTGCCTCAAATTACCAAAAATTACCCCGAATTACCACTATATTTCCACTAATTACCACTAAAATACCACTGTATTACCCCTAATTTCCAGTCATTACCACTCATTTCCTGTAAAATTTCCACTAATTACCACGATTGTGT